TCTATAGATATAAAATGTGAACTTTCATGTCTTCCATTTGCCGCGTTGTGCGTACCGTATATGAACGCAGTCTTCATTTAATCTCTACTTTCTTCTCCTAATTCACATCTAATTTCATCTAAGTGACATGATAGCGTCGCTAAGCGGAAGTATAACGCTCTAAGAGAAGTTTGTCGTTAGCCTCTCAAAATGCATCAGCAACGTAGAGTGTTTTTTTTTCAGCGAATCAATTTAAAAATGCGATAATATTTTAAACATTGTGGCAGATATTACAGAGAAACTGTATTATTTCATACTCATATCATTAATACCTTCACTGGGGCTTTTTCATTTCATTACCTCAACAATACTCAACAATAGAAACCTTCATACAAGAAATGTAAAACGTAATGGTTGGAATATCTGCAGGTACACGAGTCATCCATTTCATTATTATTATTTCTGTTTCCTATAGTACTAATTTATTTATTGTATTTTGGTTGTATTACGAATTATTGCAGATCAATGTCACTACATCGCCGCCATACAGAGTGCGGTGCGCTGCCAAATGGCGCTGTTCGTCTGTCATTGAGTGCAGGTAATGGTCATGAGAAGCGCTCTACTAGCTACAGGAATAAATAAGAATGTGGATATTTTATTAATATATAAAGCTGAAACTATACTACGTGAGTCGATAAAAACAAACTCCGTCACACAATACCGCAAAATTATTGCTCGAGACATTGTAGTAAATTATATTCAAGGAAATCATATAAAAAGCGTTCAAACATGGTACAAACGCCTTCTTCTTTTGTTACATGTGCAGGCCTTTTTTCTTAGTCGTCTTTTTCTTTTATTTGACTATAAATAATATATTTTCTAGAAGAATATTTTGCTCTGCCTGTTAAAGATTCCCATACCCCGGTTGATATTTTGTATCCTCGTATTTATAATGATGTTAAATATTTACGTAATGGCTCACTTTGCGTCGGAAATCTCATCGCTGATGAGTATTTATCTTCTCCAAATAAGAAAAATATGCATTGGACGTAGTGATGACCTGAAATTAATTTCGTGAAAACACTGAAATTTTTAGGAAACGGTTGACAAATCACGAACATCAAATTTATAGTGGAACCATTTCTTGCTTTCGATATTATTCCTTCGACCTGTTGCAACGTAAATTCTACTAGTGACACCCAAATTTCAGCTAGTTCATGTTTTTGTCTCGTAAGAAAATCTGTATTACAATAAGCATAAATACCATTAATCATGAAAAGATACTATTTAATAATACCTCTATATAGCATTTAGCACGCCTCAGAACAGCGTCAGGCTCAGTAACTGCAGGGGCAGAGGAAGGATCTCTGTAAGGTTAGTCCTAATGGTCCGCGCCGGACGCGGCCATCTAATGCATCTGTGGCTGGATACTAGGGGAGAAAACCGCTATAAATAAAATCTCATCGTCGAAAGAAGATTTACCTATACAAATCATGTTCGTCGTTAGCTTGGGTAGTCGAAATTTGTTAAATTTAGGTTGAAATACATGATTATTGTAAATATTTTCAATGATCAGAAGTGTAAAAGAAAATAAACTGTTTAAAGCGACCTGAGTCTAATTTCGTGTCTTGCATCCGCACCTATTAGTGCATGTTTAGTTATAAGTTATTGCTGGTATTAGTGGACAGAGCACATTATTTTTGGCACGCGTGTATTTACCACCTACAAAAGCTGCAATCAAACAAACAAATCGGATGATTGTGACAATTTTCTTTTTCGACTAAATTTAGAATTTCAATTTTATTTCCGTGTGTTGACATACGGAAAAATCGTGTTTTGTCATTCGGAACGCTATAACTCGAATTAATTTGCTAATACAAGCATTCATACGCTAAATATTACTGATTTCTCAGGGCGCTCAAAATTTTTGTTCCTAAATTTAATAGATTATTCGCTTCAATGAGATAAATAAGCAACAATATTGTTTTTTGTGAGTTCTACATTTGTTTATTGTTCAATAACAATTTATCGTTTCCTGTCTTTCTCCTAAATAATTTATCAAGAAGTTTTGTAATTCTTATGGTTCGCCATTCAATAATTGAAGAGATTAAACCATATAACTCTAAAATTATGATTTGGGAGTACTATAAAAATCCGACATTCTTTTCATCATTTAGTCTATAACGCGTTGTAAACAAAATCTCTCCAAAAAAATAATTTCGTGACCAGCAACTATCACAGCTTCATTGCAATACGAAGCACTATATATGCATCATAGAGAGCTAACGTTAATGCCTTCATCCTGAAATTTACGAAGAGCTCAAGTCGGCTCAAGTTTCAGGCGAAGTAATTAAACCCGTGATAAATGGCTGCTTTTTAATGCGCAGATCAAGGATATCTCGCTCGAAACCAAACATGGTGTGCCACAGTGCGACAGTAATTTACTGCGTTTGAATTCTGAGTCGAATGCGCATTTCCGATATTATTTTATAGCTTGCAAGCAACTGCCTTCATTACTTCTAGCTGGTCAAACCGTATCAGTGGAAACAAAACTCAAACATGAAAATAAGTAAATAGTTAATTTTTGCCTCTGTTTCGCCATCATATTTGGTATTTACCATGATCCTTATTTCGTCCAACCTTCGCTGGCCAATAAATAGAAAATTTTAAGAGCGCTATATCATATTTGGTTTTATGGCTGCTCGCGCGGGCCATCAGCTTGAATATTGAAGCAACGCAAAATATTATTATTGGTTCATTCAAGTTTTAAAACACACCATCACTAAGGCACACAATATTGTACTAAGCATTTTAGAAGCGTAAGAAAACTTTCTTACGTTTTTTATAGTAACTGAATGGAATTGCTGTAAGACCTAAGTTTGATGGATACCTGGAAATGGGTTTTATATTTTAAGAGAAATGAGCGCTTTTGTGAAACAGTAGTTGGTCAAAATGTGTTCGCATGCGAAGAAGGCGGAAATTTATGGTCGGTATTATGATTTTTCTCACTTCGAGCCCTATCAATTACTATTCCTATGTTCGATTACTATTCCTATTACTATTCATATGTTCGAAAAACATACTTTGCACATCAAAGAAATTCTAACTAAAGATACGAAGTTGGATTTTAAGAATCTTTTAAAATTTCGAAATGGGAGTCTTTATTAATTATTTACGGCTAAAATGCGCATTTCCATGCCTTTAGAGCACTTATGCAGTAATACTAATAGTAGTGTCAGCGTTGACTAGGCCAAAATTGGGCTGTTCCCGAATCTAGACATCGCATAATTCTTCAAGATAGCCGGAGTTCTGTATTCGCAACTCAATGTTCCAGTCTTGCTAGCCTCAACCACTCAATCGCCTCGCCGATTTTGAGCAGCTGTCACAGGAAGCTGGGATCGAACCACCAACTCACTGCTTCAATCGTCGCACTTTAAACTGTGACCACTGTGTTTTAGTTCGTTGCTTTTATAAACCATCGGCCAGAAGTAGTGTCAAGCGTGTGTCCCACGTATGCCGATGGTACAAAAGTCTATAATACAGATAAGAATGCATCATATAAAGTGCAAATGGAAAATGATCTCAATAGTTAAGTTAACTGGACTGATGCATGGCAGCTTCGTTTTAATGCTGATAGTGATAGGCCTAAAGTACTTCACCTCGGGAAGAATATGAAAAGCGAGATTACGCACAGTATGAGATAACATGATTGCAACTAGAGAGTAATGATTGAAGAGCCTAGCGTGGAAAAAGATTTGGGAGTTTATGTCGACAAGGAGCTAAATTTTTTAGGCATATTGAAACGCAAGCTAATAAATCCAAAATTCTTGTACTCAGCAGACGCTCTCGCGAGTTCGTAGATGCAGAAACGATGAAGTTGTTTGTTGCTGTCGTGCACGCGAACCTAGAGTATGGAAACGCAGTGTCGTCAACGAAACTTGAGAATGACAAAAATTCAGTAGAAAGTGTTCAAAAACGCACAACAAGGATATTTCCAGGTTTGAAAGGTAATTCCTATGAAGAATTAAAGATTGTGAAGCTTCCAGGCCTCTGTTCTCGACGTCTGCGTGGTGACCTTTATATAAACTCATGGTTTGTACAAGATCCCAAAAGGATTACTAAAATTTAAAACAAGAATCAACACCTGGGGCCACCAGTTGGGGCCACGGCTGTTAACTAAATAATTTCGTTGCAACTCATTCACACAACACTTGTCGCTTCGAGTCACCAACATATGGAACAGTCTCCGAGTTACTCACTTGACGCTCCTAGTATGAACGAGTATATTATTATAGTTTTAGGGAACTTACTGGAACGTGAACAACTTAAAGTTTATTTTCGAATGTTAACCAAATGTATATGAGGTTTGCGTGACATTAGTGAGGTTTGCGTGACTTGTGAATCAAGTCACAAAAAATTCAAGAATCGGCAACAGGCCATGGGCCTATTTCTTCAGTGCCGACACTTCAATTCTATTGTATTCTATTAGCCATTAATACATGACGCGTAGAACGAGTAATATAGACGCGCGTTGATTGTGATTGCGCCAAGCACCGAAGCATATTATGAGTCAGTTTTGATTTAATCTAGGAAAGCAGATCGTAATTTTTTTATAATAAGAATATTTATAACAATTTACCAGATAATTGACCGGAGTACAAATCATAACCATACAAATCTCATACGTGTAGGTAGGACTAGTTCATGCGTCTCTACATTTAAGCCCATATAAATTAAAAAACTTTCAGATTGGTTGGAAATTTTAAAACTAAATCTATCCATTGAAATCTTGCAGCTTCCTTATTTATCACTGGCAAGACTTTTAATCTCTTCTCGTATATCTAGACATATAAAACAATACATTTTCAGTCACTTTCTGAATATTTACCTTATAAAATGACTTATTAGTTTTTTCGATGCATAACATTTATTAATTCGTCAAATGTTTCAAAAATATATGCTCCTCTGAAAATCTTATCAAAACTTGTCTGGCAACTGTATGGCAACAACTCTCGACATTGCAGCTGGTTCTTACGACGGTGGAACGTTTGAAGGTGTTACGTGTGCTCTTGTTTATTAAATAATTTTTAGGTGAGTGTTGAAAATTCCGACGTTAGCATCATTTGTTTCAATGAATTTGTGTGTGAATGAATCTAGATTTGATAAGCCCTTTTTTCAAATGTTTGATTTGAAGAGTGCTCCCAGCTTTATTTCAACCCCTTTCATCTTCATGAAATGTTTTGATTTCTTGCTGCGGCCTAATAAGCCAAGGAATGAATAGATGATTATACAAAGGCTGTGTTGTTACTTGTATTGATTACTTCATCAAAAGCTCTGAAATTTTATCTTCTTGGTCCATGGTCTTTTCTCAACAAATTTTTAGCTTTAATAGTCATCATTCCCCGGCTATAGTATAGGCTATAGCCGTCTGAAGGAGGTTTTTATTATAATATTATATCTTAACATTTGCCACAAAAAAAAATAATTGAAATGGTCATCATTCATTGAATAAATTTTGTGGTAATTGACTCCATTGTTACTTTGTTACGTGTTACCAATTAACATGGACTGTAAAAACATTTTTTGAGAATAACAGTTAGCCTAGAGCCCTAGACAATAATAATACCTAGGTACCTATATAAGATTGAGGATCCTTAATACTAAGTGATAACAGGTTGGCTAGGTAGGTAGGTAGGTAGGTAGGTAGGTAGTCTATATATACCTAAGATTGACTTGGGTTGAGGTAGGCTATGCTGGATTTAATAGTGACATTTGCTGGCAGGTGACTCAAATTCCACCATGTTAAATAAGACAATGGTTTGATTAGTTTTGTTAGGTATGGTTCATTTTGACAGGCGTGGATAATATCCAGGGCTGGAAAAATCCTATTTTTTTCTAAAATGATGCAACTCTAATAAATACATAATTTCAGTAGCTAGGTATGAAATGTCATGACTCTAATGTCATAAATTTTTGTTTAATTGATAAAATTGTGGCTTGCACTTTGCAAACATGATGTTTCATAAAATTTTCAACTTCTGCAATCTGCAGTATATTGTTCCCGTGTCAGCCGCGGGGAAATTAACTCTTAATCCACTTAAGGGGAGCGTCTGGGTCCTAGAAAAACTTTTTTTATTTGCGGACGGATCACTTTAAAACTTGGTACCGTATACACATATGTTGAAAATAATTCTAAGACTTTTTTGTTCATGTAAATTTTTCGAAAAAATGAAAGAAAACGTGAAATCCTTAGAAAACGGCCAAAAAGGGGGTACTGTAGAACAGTGGCAAAGCAGAGATTTTTTAGAATCAGTTCATTTTTAATTTCCTCATTTATTCAAGATCTAAACCAATTTCTTATGTATGATGATGCTGGTATCCATGATACTTTACTCAGTTTACTGGTCTACTTATAGGACTCAGAAATGAACTTGAATGAGAGTCTAAAAAACTCTCTGCTTCGTCACTGCCCTCACTTGGGATCATGGGATGAAGTACAGTACAACGTCACTACAACAGTTACAGTAGTACACTAACAATGAAACAGGAGGAATGAGCACTTAAATAGCTTCAAAGAACTTGTATAGGTAGGGCCAAATCATGGCCTCATTAGCCATTTAGCCCGAGCAGTGAGTATTGGTCTAGCTAGCCGTCTCGGCCGGCAGGCACCCAGGGTGCGAGACATGTTACCGCAACAACATCTGCTTTCAGACTGCTTTCAGTGCTAACNCATCCCACACGACTGTTGAAGGGTAACTGGAGCGGAGAGTGTGAATACTAGCTATTTAAGATGCACTTCGGCATTTACTCCCTATGTTAAATGTTAAAGAACTCCACCAACCTTTGCTTTTTCGCGATCTGTCATGAACGCATAAGTCAACGTACAGAAATGGTTCTGGTACCGTTGGATAGGTCAGAATGTCAGCTTTGAGATGAGACTAAAACCCGGAAAAGCCAAAATTGGTGATTTTGGACCCAGAAGCTCCCCTTAAGTGAAGCTAAATTGGTCTAATAATGGTGTAAGTAAAGAGTTGCCAGAAGAGTTATGTTTTATTATGAGATTTTAAAATACAACTGACATGCCTATTAATGTACAGAGACAAAATTCTGATGGTGCTTTAGGCTAAACTTTAGGACTATTGTGACTTGGTGTTTGGTAACCAGTGATATGGAATAGGGAGCACAGGATGCCGGACAGGCAATGGCGCTTAAGGTCCTCAGACAGCTGAAAGATATAAAAATTACAAATGAAAGATACTGCGCATAATGTGGCTATGATGCAAAGCAGGTTACAATCTATCATGCCCAAATTTAGTGATTAACTTAGGCAATCATGCTATATCTAAATAATGAATAAATATTTAGTAAATTAGGGATTGATAATTTAGTCTAGTAAATTAGGTTGCAAGAGTTATTGGTGCAAAAATTATAATAAACACACAAAGCAAACGACATTGGCAGTAGATTTGACACAATGATGCAAGTGAAGTTATATAGGTAAAACAAGGACCGCATCACCATCAAGTCTGTAAACACTTTAACCCATTAATAACGAGAATTATTTACTGAATTTTTTTTTTTTTTTGGTTCCTTGTGAGAATATTATCATTTGTGATCGTAATAAACAAAAAATGTGTTAATATATTTATTTTTTGTTTTATGTGAAAAATTATAGCTTGGTTCCATATGGAACTGCTCGGCATTAACGTAACATTTCTTCAAACAACACTTTTTCCTATAGTAAATCATGCAAGGTTATGCATAATGGATAATACGTATTCATAATGGACAATACTGATGATAAATCAATCATGGCAGAATACAATTCAATTTTAGCATAGAATGCTTCCTGTCTCTTATACACATCTAGATGTGTATAAGAGACAGACTTATAGGACTCAAAAATGAACTTGA